AACCACAAAGGAAGACAGTAAGCAAGAAAGAAGAGAAGAAAGGATCTAAAATATAACTGGAAAACAATTAACAAAATGGCAATAGAAAGTCCTTACCTGTCAATAATTACACTGAATGTAAATGTATCAAATTTATAAATTAAAAGACATAGAATGGCTGCATTTATATAAAAAAAAACCCAATGATATACTATCTACAAGAGGTTCACTTCACCTGTAAGGATATTCACAGACTGAGTGAAAAAATGGAATAGATATTAAACAGAAATGGAAACCAAAAATGAACTGGATTAGCTATACTTATAACAAATAAAAGAGACTTTAATTCTAAAATTATAATTAGAGACAAAGAAGGTCATTGTATAATAATAAAGGAGTCAATTCAGCAAGAGGACATAACAATTATAAATATATATGCACCTAAATTGGAGCACCTAAATATATAAATAAAACATTAATTGATCTAAAAGGAGAGATATATTGCAGTACAATAGTAATAGGGGACTTCAACAACTTACTCTTAGCATTAGACATATCAATCAAACAGAAATAAACAAAGAAACTTGAGACTTAAACTGCACTCTAGACCAATGAACCTAACAGACATTTATAGAACATTCCATCCAACGGCTGCTGAATATACATTCTTCTTAACTGCCCATGGAACATTCTCCAGTATAGATCATATATTAGGCCACAAAATAAAATCTTAACAAATTCAGGTAGGTCAGCATCATACCAAGTATCTTTTTGAACCACCATGGTATAAAACTAGAAATCAATAATAGAAGGACATTTTGAAATTTTACAGACACATGGAAATTAAACAGCATGCTATGAATAACCAATAGAGAAATTAAGAAATTAAAAAAGAAATGTAAAAATTCCTTGAAGTACACCATACCAAAACTATGGGGTACAGCAAAAGCAGTCCTCAGAGGGAAGTTTATAGCAACAAACACCTGCATCAAAAAAGAAGAAAGACTGCAGATAAAAAAATCTAACATTATACCTCAAGGAACCAGAAAAACAATAACAAACTCAAACCAAGGTTAGTAGAAAGAAAGAATAAAAATCAGAGCATAAATAAATGAAATAGAGATTAGAAAAACAATACAAAAGATCAATGAAACAAAGACTTGGGTTTTTGAATATATAAACAAAATCAACAAACCTTTAGCTAGACTAATAAGAAAAAAGAGAGAAGATTCAAATAAATAACTCAGAGATGAAAAAGGAGACATTACAACTGTTACCACAGAATATAAAAAGTCATAGAGACAATTATAACATAATATCAAAAACAAACTTAATAACCTGGAAGAAATACATAAATTTCTAGATACATACAACATACCAAGATTGAATCATGAAGAAATATTATAGAAAATCTGAACATACCAGTAACAAGAGAGGAGACTGAATCAATAATAAAAATATGCCTTCCCTCAAAAGAGTTCAAAACCTGTTAGCTTCACTGCTGAATTCTACAACACATTTAAAGAAGAACTAAGACCAATTCTTCTCAAACTATTCCAAAAATTGATGAGGAGGGAATACTTCCAAACCCATTCTACAAAGCTACATTACTCTGATATCAAAACCAGACAAAAACAACAAAAGAAAACTACAGAACAATACTTCTGGTGAACATAGATGCAAAATTGCTTAACAAAATACTAACAAGCCAAATTCAACAGCACATCAAAATGATCATTCACCATGACCAAATAGGATTTATCCCAGAGATGCACAGATGATTCAACATATGCGAATCAATAAACATGGCACACCACATTAACATAATGAAGGACAAAAACTATATAATCCTTTATATAGATGCAGAAAAAGCATTTGGCAAAATTCAACATCCTTTCATGATAAAAACTCTCAACAAAGAGAGTGTACCTCGCGAAGGAGTGTACCTCAACACAATCAAGGCCATATATAACAAACCCACGGCTAACATTATAATGAATGGGAATAAGTTGAAAGCTTTTCCCCTAAGAACTAGAACAAAATTAAGATGCCCACTCTCACCACTTCTACTCAACAGAGTACTTGAAGATCTCACCAGAGCAATCAGGCAAGAAAAAGAAATAAAAGTCATTCAAATTGGAAAGGAAGAAGTTAAATTGACACTGTTTGCAGGCAACATGATGTTACATGTAGAAAACTCTAAAGACTCCACCAAAAAAAACTGATAGGTATATGAATTCAGCAAAGTAGCAGTATTCAAAATTAACACAAAAAAATCAATACCATTTCTATACACTAACAGCAAGCTTTCTGAAAAAGAAGTTAAGAAAAGAATCCCATTTATAATAGCAATAAAAATAAAATAAACTACCTAGTAAGAAATTTAACTAAAGAGATGAAGAATCTCTGCACTGAAAACTACAAAACACTGATGAAAGAAATTGAAAAAGACACAAATAAATGAAAAGACAACCCACTTTCATGGATGTTGGAATAAATACTGTTAAAATGTCTGTACTATCCAAAGCAACCTAAAGATTTAATGCAATCCCTATGAAAATACCAATGATACTTTTCACAGAAATGGAAGAAACAATCCTAAAGTTTGTATGGAACCAAAAAAGACACCAAATAGACAAAGTAATCTTGAATTAAAAAAAAAAAAAAACAATGCTTGAGGCATGACTCCACCTGACTTCAAAATATACTATCAAAGATACAAGAACCAAAAACAGCATGGTACTTGCATAAAAACAGACATCTAGACCAAGGGAACAGAACAGAGATCCCAGAAATAAATATATACATTTACGGCTAATTGATTTTCACAAAAGTGCCAAAAACACACAATGGGGAAAAGACAGTCTCTTCAATAAATGGTGTTGGGCAAATCGGATATCCACATATGGAAAGATGAAATTAGACCCTTATCTCTAACCATATAAAAAATCAGCTCAAAATAGATTAAAGGTTTAAATGTAAGGCCCCAAATTACAAAACTAATAGAAGAAAACATAGGAGAACAACTCTATGACATTGGTCTAGGCAACCATTTTTTGGATAAGCCCTCAAAAGCATGGGCAATGAAACCAAGAATAGACAAATGGGATTACATCCAACTAAAAGCTTCTGCACAGTAAAATAAACAATCCAGAGTGAAGAGACACTCTATAGAATGGGAGAATATATTTGCAAACTATACATCTGATAAGGGGCTAAGATCCAAAATATGTGAGGAACTCAAGTGATACAAGTAGATCTACCATTTGATCCAGCAATTCCACTACTGGACATCTACCCAAAAGATCAAAAGTCACTTTATGAAAAAGACACCCACACTCAAATGTTTATAGAAGCACAATTTACAATTGCAAAGTTGTGGAAACAACCCAAGTGCCCATCAATTCATGAGTGGATTAATAAAATGTGGTATATATATACCACGGAGTACTATTCAGCTTTAAGAAACAATGATGATATAGCACCTCTTGTATATTCCTGGATAGAGCTGGAACCCATTCTACTAAGTGAAGTATCTCAATAATGGAAAAACAAGCACCACATGTACTTACCAGCAAATTAGTATTAATGGATCAACACCTAAGTGGACATATAAGAAAAACATTTGTTGGGTATCAGGCGGGTGGGAGGGGGAGGAGAAGTTGGGGATATACAAACATAATGAATGAGATGTGCAACGTTTTGAGGATGGTCATGCTTAAAGCTCTGACTCGAGGGAGGAGGGGTGGCATGGGCAATATACATAACATTAACATTTGTACCCCCCATAATATGCTGAAATAAAAAGAAATTAAATAAAAAAAATAGGATCAGAGTAAGCCTACCTAAAAAAAAATCAAAAGATAAAAAATTCTGGCAAAGATGTAGAGAAAAGGGAACACTTACACACTGTTGGTGGGAATATAAATTAGTATAGCCATTATGGAAAACACTATGAAGTTTCCCTAAAAAATTAAAAATAGAACTACTATATGATCCAGCAATCTCACTACTGGGTATATATCCAAAGGAAATAAAATCAGTATGTTAAAGAGATATCTGCACTCCCATGTTGATTGCAGTAGCCAAGATATAGAATCTTGGCTATTTCAAAGATCCACATTCCCATAGACAAGACTATAGATCAATGCTCTCCTGGAGCACTTTCTATAATAATGGAAATGCTCTATGTTTGTGACTTTCAGTAAAGTAGCCGCTAGCCACATGTGGCAACTGAGCACTTGAAAGGTGAGTAGTATGACTAAGGAACTATTAAAATTTTAATTTTTTTAACTTTAAGGTTAAATAACTACATGTGGATAGTGACTACCTAAATAGACAGTGCAGCCACAGAGTGCCAAGTTTACCTCTTGAAAATTCTTGGGAACGAAAGTCCACACTAAGGAAAGGGAGAGAAAGATTTTGGAACAAGTCAAAAGCAAAAAATGTAAAGTTTACTGGCCGGCCTATGGGTGGAATTTCTATCAGATTGCAGACTAGTGGGATCTCAATGCTTCTTTCATCATTCCTACTCTGACTCACTTTCATATTATTACCATGGTGCTGACAAAAGAACAAAGTTGTCAATAGATGGCAACTTCATAGTTTTTATTTAGAATTGATGTTCATACAGTGCTTAGTATTCTTAAATACATACCCCATGAGCGGCATCAATTGAATGTTCAACATGACTTCTCTGAGATTTAATTCCTACACAAAAAATAAATGTTTTGGCTCTTGAGGGTTGGTAGCATAAATATCTGAGCTTCACATCACCAACAGAGGATTCAAAAAGGAATCAAACTTCATTTTTGTGTCTTGTTTCTTGCAATTTAATTTTATTTCCTACCTTCACTTCTTTCCTTCTTAATAGCTGAAATGGATTAGGAGAACAATTAAAAATAAATGGTATGCTTTGGAGCAGCATTGAGCTTGACTCCATTTTTATGCATTCTTTTCAAAGGACCTTTTATGTAAAATTGCTTACTTGCTATCAGAGATACTCACAGTGAACACAACTTAGAGATTCATCAAAATGACAAAACTGAGAGTCTCCAGGGCAGGAAAAGGTCACCAGACTCTGTGCAGCTCTCAGTCTGTATGAGTCCTTCACAAATGCTCTCAGGATGGCGATGCCTTTGTTCTCCTCTATTCTGGTGGAAATGATTTAGTGAATGCTCTGCACCTTTCTCTCCCTTCAATGCCACCCTTGACCCCTCGCCCCCACCCTTTCACATTAGATCTTTTTGCTTCACTGGCCTTTCCGGATGAGGAAGAGTCTCACCAAATCAAGAATGTACCTTTTCAGAAGAGGTCAATTAGTCCTGGGGAGTAATGAGGACTAAGCTGCCCTCTTCACTTTGACCATTGATTTAAACACTATTCAGAGGCTCCAGGGTGCTAGTGAGGCAACTCTCTGGGAACCGAGGAGGGACATCATCCTCCATTCCCATAACCCATGCCCAGTCACCCCAGAGAATCAGCCACCAGTCACGGCTCCCTCCCACCCTGCTACATGGTAACCAAAACAAGCCCCTTCTGTGTACATTTTCTGTAGCGTGTAATTGCCAACTGGTGACAGAGAAGAATGGAAAGGAAATGCATTGAGAGAGCTTCGACAGAATTACGGTAACGTGAGTTCTGAGGGAGGCCCCAAGCCTGCATGCCAACAGCAAACTTCCTGGCGTGGCTCATGCCTGGAGGCTGGACTGTGCCCAGAGCCACTCACTCCATGAGAACTCGGCACCCTCGCCAACGCCACCCACACCGCATGGGCTAGCTGTGCTTCCTAAAACCACTGACTCTCAGAGTCAGGAGACCTTCGAGATTCTTGGAGTCTTATTCTTTCTCACAAGAGAATGTCCTCTTTAAAGCCCCCTCAAGTGGCCACCTGGGGGTAGAGACACACTGTCTCCCCAGAATAGATCCAAATCCAACCAAGTACCTTATGATAGCTAGCATATTTTCCTAGACTTTGTCATCTCTGTTCCAGGCTAAATTTCCCCAGTTCCTTCGATTGTTCCTCATCTAACGTGACTTTGAAGTCCTTCCCTGTCCTGGTCATTCTTATAGTCAAGGTCAGAAAGGAATTTCAAGCTCAGCCGCATCTATACAGATGCCATCATCTGCCTCTAAGTGTTCTGAGTTTAACAGAGGAGCATGAGAGGCGGGGGAGGGAGTGGAGGTAGGAGGTCAGGAGACGAGGAAGTGGCAGCAGCTTTGTCCTCTCTCTGAAGCAGTGCTGAGAGCATACGGGTTAGTGTGGGAGCACATGGAGACAGGAACAAGGTTTCTCACTGTGAAATAGCTTCAGGCTTACAAATAATTATATAATTTTGGAGCACCAATCAGGAACCATACCAAGCATTTTGCATATACTTATCCTTACAGAGGTAAGCCTTACTATTCCCACTTCACGATGAAAGGAAGAGGTCCATAGCAATTAAATGATTTGCCCAAGGTCATATAAGCTAATAAATGGCAAATATTGTATTTCTCCAAAACATCCTACTTATTAGAATCATTTCTCCCAGCCAATGCCACATCCTAGAATTATATAACCTCTTGAAGCCCAGATGTGTTCTGTTTCGATTTTTCAGATCCTTTCAATCACTCCAGTTTGGTCTGATTTTTCTGGGCTCAGATTATTACCTGCTGTGACCTTGAATTCCTTCCTGATTTTTCCAGACTTGTGTACTCTGAATTTGGATGTCTTCCTGATCCCACAAGCCCGCCTGAGTCCCTAGTTCTCCCCTCATTGTTATGTGTGGGCATACCCGTTAGCTCCCTCAAGAGAAAGGGGGATTCCAGTCCCCTGAATCACTGAGTCTGTGCACTCTCTTCCTTGCAAGTTTTGTGAAATGATACTCTGGGTGATCGAAGAGGAAAGCCAGCTCTTCCAGATCTAGGCTTCCAGACACCATTAGATGAACTTTAAATTCTCCAGATTTTTCTGCTAAATGTCACATCTTCCTTCTTTTTTGGTGATCTTTCCCAAAGAATCCAGTGTCCTGTGGATGTTTCTTGAATTGTCAGAAAGAGAGAGAGAAAAATGGAATAAGTATGCAATTGTTTAAAGTTTCATTAAGTTGGCTTTCAGCAAAGCTCATACTCAAATGATACAGCTTGAGTTAAATCTATAGAAAACTTTTTTAAGCTATCCTGCTTGGAATACAATTCAATTGCTGAGAGCCATTAGAAAGTTCACATTTTTAACAACTTTTAACAACTATTTATAAGCCAGAGCCCCATGTGGTCCAGTCTCTGGAAGTTACAGTATTCAAGTAAATGCAGTCCTGAAACTATAAGCGATTGAAAGTGATGCCAATCTTTTCGGGAATTTCTTACAAGATGTCAAAGGAGAACCAATTTGTAACTCACAATAATGTTTTTTAAAACTTTTTCCATTATTTCCCTCTCAATATGTCATATTTCCAACTTCCTCAAAACTTCTGTCTCTGTATTTCTTTCTCAATTTTCAATCTCAAACTCTCCCTTTAAAAACAAGTTGGCACAGACCTTCTCTTTCCTCTAGGTGTCCCCTGCCCAAAGCCCTTCTGGGAACCGCAGGAACCCATTCTGTCCTTGTGCACATGCAATCCTGTAGTGCAAGGCAGTTACCATCCTGTGGCCGAGGGCAGACCACAGGCAAAAGGAACCAATAGTTAAATATTTTCTCATTTCTTGCCCCTAGGCATTTCATAAGTATTTTACATTGTCCCAGAAGATAATTTTCAAGATACTTAATATCTTTTAATAAATTCCCTTTTGTTTTTGTTTTGCTTGAAGTAGTCACAGTGAATCACGTTGTTTGCAACCAAGAACTGTTTCCAATAAAGCTTCCAATAGCAGCTATTTGAGTGCTAGTCTCCCAGGTCCTTCCCAACATTGCTTATTACCAATTAAAATAAGGAAACAAAATGAAACAAAAACACTTCTTTAGGGAATAACCTTATAGAATAAGAAAAGCAAACATGTTTCTGCAGAGTGCCCACAGTTGACTGAGCTCTTAATTCTGTGAGCTACAAACTGGTTTGATTCTCATATGAACCAGGGATCATGGGAATTTAGCTGGATGGGTATTTCCGGCCTTTCATCAATCTGATCATTTTGTATTATGACCCTCAAGTCTCAAGTGATGCTTGGTGGAAAAAAACATGACTTTGCAAAGCATGGCTGTTTTTTGGTTGGTTAACTAGACAAGGGATTTTTCTGACCTGCTAAATATATCGTGGATTCTTTTTCAGCTGAGGACCTGTCTCCAAAAACATTTATCTAAATTGCTTTGCCTCATAAATAGCTTCTCAAACATGGCTACCAAAGTACCCATAAAAACAAAGTGAATATATTTCCTTGGGGATTTAGTGGCAGAGAAAGAAGCAGCACAACTCAAGTTAAAATGTCTCTGAAATTTTGTTTTTATCAAAAACTTAGTTTAAATTTTACATTTGATTCCCTAAAGTGTCATTGTCTACTTTTACATAAAATAATAAATAGAATTACTTACTAACAGACTTCAAATTAAATAAAATAGATGGAATAATACATTTATCTCTGCTCCATCCCAAAATGTGTTGAAAGATTTTAGGTGATATAAACCTACAAAGACAAAGAGCTCCTGGCAGAGAATCTATAGATATCATCTCCAGAGAATAATGGTGAAAAAGAGATGCCAACCAAACTACAGAGAAGGTAAAGTGATTGATTAGTACTAATCTAGCAGAGTAGAAAGAGTTAAGACCTAAAATGACTACAGAGGGAAACACCAAGCAAACAAAAATCCAGATTTGGAATACAAAATTCCAGGGATGGCCAGGAACTGACACTCTAATGTCTCTAAAAGCAGAGGCAAGGATTGGGATGGAAAACAGAGGAAGTGGTTAAAAGTCTACTTAAGGAGCATTTAGATCCTCCTCTACCTGTGATTCCAGGTGACTACAGCCCCCAAGCTCCAATCCAGAAGCAGATGGAAGGTTTGCTTTCTGAACAAAGGCTGAGTGAGCAACAGTCGACTGGGCAGAGTATGGAAGGGAAGCCCCTTACTAAAAACAGGAGGATTAAGTAAGACTGTACATGTCAAATATGACTGTCTAGCCCTCTTCCTTCATACAGCAACCAAAATGCTGGCAGCCATTTACTCTCCAGAAAAAGTGACAGACCACAAAGAAAAGGCCTAAAGAAATTGACTTCTGTGGAACAACAAATGAAAAATCCAAATGAAAAAGCGTGTGTACCAGCTTCAAGGACAGGGCAGGGAGCAAAGCACCCAGGGTGTGAGCAATAAGGGATTGCCTATAGAAAATTTAAAGCCCATAATTAAACTGACTAAAAGTTGTTTCGCTTTTTATTATCATCACATCCAAAAGTTCTGAACAACCTCAGTGATAAAGTATTCCTCCAAAAAAATCTTTTTTGGGCCTAGGTTCCAAGCAAGTGCTATGACTACTGTTGAGTATTAATAATATGAATGTCAACTTCAGATTTGCCCGTTTTTATTTTCTACATGAAAGTTAATTCAGAAATCTCCCCATTATTCAGTTGATTTTCAACTAACACAAGTTCAGCTACATATGGTCTCTTTGAGACTAAGTTCAGAGGTTCAAATCATTCTAATTTGCTTCAGCTCAGTTTGTGTCTCCAATCCCTGTGGTACTACAGAGTCCTGTTTAAACAGTAGATTCAAGAACAAACAATGACACCTAATAATTGTAAAAAAAAAAAACACTGAATTACTTAATTTTGTCATTCTATGTAACCACTTGGACACTTGGAGTTTTTATTTATTCATGCTTAAAATTTAAAGCAGTGACACAAAGAACTATGAAGAAGAATAATTTTGTTTGACAATTGCAAATTTATTTTTGTACATGAAATAATTCATTTCATTTAATAATATCTTTAAAATGGAATTTTTCCTTTTTATTAATCATTTTTCAACTAAAGAACTAATAAAAATAATGATTATAGCTGATTTTTATCATTACTGAAAATGATTTTGATAAATGTATGTGTAAATACATGTATGTATTAAAATAACTAAACATATACATATCTATGTATAAAATGATCTGATCCAGATGTTGAATATGCTAGATCCAGCCCTGATTTGAACCCTATCTCACTGCTGTATCAGCACAGTCAGCCAGTGATCATCAGATCCGTGAAATACAAAGACCAAAATTAACAAACCAAAAAGAAACTTGGACGAAACAGAGATCATGCAGAAATAGAAGGAAATTTAAACCTCAATCCAAAATTCTCAGAGATAAAAGAAAATATTGCCTTCTTATTGATTAGGAATAACAAGAATAGTTTGTTATTTTAAAAAGAAAAGAAAGGAACTTATCAAGAATAAGAAAGAACTCAGAATTGAAAATATGAATGCAAAAATTTTTTAAATAGGGAAAAAAAGAAGGTAAAGTTGAGAAACTCTTAAAGGAAGTAGGACAAAAACAATAGTAACACATCAAAAAATAGGGGAGAAAAGATTTTAAAAATAGAGGATCACTTTGGAAGGTCTGACCTCTGACTAATAGATGTTCTAAAACAAACACCGAATAAACAGATGGAAGCCAAAAAATCAAATAATATAGGCAACTTTTCCAGGAACTGAAGGCCATGCGTTTCCAACTTGAAATGGCCCACCAAGTGCTCAGGATGATAAATGAAAAACAAATCACACCAAGGCAAAACACTCTAAAATTTCTAACTATTGGGAATAAAGAAAAAAATCCTAAGAAATCCCAGACAGAAAAAACAGGCGTATACCAAGCGTCAAGAATCAACATGGCATTGAATTTTTCAAAAGCACCGTGAAATACAGAAGATGCTGGAGCAATGCTAGCAATATCATAAACTGAAAAACTATCTTCAACCTAGAATTCTATCGGCAGCAAAATCAAGCATAAATGTACAACAAAAATATTTTCTGATGGGCAAGGTCTCAAAAATATCACTTCCCATACGAATGTAACCCCATGTCAGAAAGCTACTGGCAGATGCATCTGTTTAGGTACATAGCATTAAACAGACATTTTAAAAAGTGACAGACACTTTAAACCCCAGAGAAAACAGAGCTTGTACAAGAAAGGAAATGTAGTCATAGTGAGCTGTGATTAATATTGACATCAACCCAATAATATAAACATTGAGTACTAATTTAAAAAATAATTATAATATAACTGCATGGGGGGTATAGAGCTGGAGAGAAATAGATGTTAAGAGAGTTACATTTATATGAGAGTTAAATTTCTATCTGTCATAAGAAATGTCAATAATTACAATGAGAAGTAGCAGTATTATTCTATTACTTAGAGATAGAGAGCTACACACTAAGGAATAAAGCTAAAATAAAAGCAGCCACCTCTGGGGAGTATGACTTGGGTTGAGCAGGCAGGGAACTGCTATTTTGTTTGAAGTTTTGTCTACTATTTGGTTTTTTTTTTTTCAATTTTGTACACATATTACTTTTGGCAGTGCATTTAAAAGGAAGAAACAGGAAACCAGAATTTTATTGGAAACTCCCAAGTTTCATATATGTTGAAAATTAATATCAAATTAAAACATAGAAAGGTGGGAAGAACACCTCAAGGTTCAAACAAAATCCTTCCCAAACTGGCCTGTCTCTGGCAGATCAGGCCTCTGGGCCACTGGAAGCTTTTGAAGGGAAGGAAATTAACACTTACTGAGCACCCTGTGCGTGCCAGCACCACTGCAGGAGACTGTCAGGATTGGAGAAAGGTATTTTACAGGCGAAAGACTAAGTCTCTAAAGGATGAATAACTTGACTGCACGCATTTGTTGGTATTTCTGAGCATGAGCCCCAGGGAGACTGTGTAGACAGAATCTCACAACTGATTCCAATCAATACTCGGTGAGACGTGTGGAGCCATTTTACAGATGAGAAAACTGAGGCTCAGCAAGGTCAGGTGACATATGTGATACAACTAGTAAGTGGCAGAGCTGCAATGTGGCCCCAAGCCTGCAATACAATTCCCCATTCTGAGCCTTTGGAGGGCAGAAACTGTGTCCTCCTCCTGTTTGTCCTCCTGGCACATAGCACAGCATGCGTGGCACTTAGCAAATGCTACCCCAAAGACTACTACTGAGGCAGCCAAGGCTCCCGGGAGCGTTTCCAGCAGTACCAAGCATCCAAATCCTTCTTCCCTTTGCCTGTCCCACGTGGGACCTGCTCGAGGGCTGTCTGGATGCTATCTCTGCAGGGGGAGGACGTGTCTTCAAAACCACTCAGGTCACCTTCTAGAGTCAATTTACAGCTCTCGGACCTAGCCCTTCCTTAACACTGAAATGTCACACACTTTAAATTGCAGGACAATAGCAATTTCGGTCTCAAAAAATAGCAAAATTAAACCTTCGATGCAAAAAAAAAAAAATGAAATTGTGGAAACAATTTTGGAGACCACAGACCTTTTGAAAATGTCATTAATAAACCGTGAAATCAGGGAGATAAAAATCAGACACCCCGAGGAGGAACAGCAGTGCCCCAGCCCTGCTCCTCACCCTGAGCCCTGGAGAGACCAGTTTCCACTCCGCGGGTCCAGGAAGCAGGGGGTCCAGAGCTAATGCATGTCTGCTGCTCCGAGCTGGCTCTGGGGGCGGATTTGGGAAGCACGGAATGAGCGAACGCTCCAACATGTGGAGTCGGATCTACTGGAGAGCGAGAGAGAGGACAATACGTGGAAATCCAGTGGTGATCCGGGAGAAGGTTCTGGAAGGCAAAGGGGAGCTCTTCGAAGACTCTTGGAAAAGCAAGTTCAGTCTCGAGGTTTCCCTTGGCTGATTCCACACCTCTGGGCAGAAGTCAGAATTATAGGTCTTTTCTCCCTAATAACTACCTTATCTCCAGGACATCCACAATAATAAATTTAAAGTTATTCCCAAGGGAAAAGTACTCATGGTAGAGATTAAGTGCTGTAAAGCATTCACAGGAAATAGGGTAGAATGTGAAATATTTTGAAAAGATCCTCTTTGCTGTCTACGAACTTTACGGTCATGGTAATGTTAGCTGGATGTGTGTTCTGCTCTTGATCCGAAAAATTTGGAGTTGGTTACCTTGATTCCTCACAGAGATGCTTTTTTATAGGAACAGAGAGATGATGAAACAAAATCTACAGAAGTGTACCTGCCCAATTCTCTGCCACACTGTCCGCTTTGACTGCCGGCATTTACCTCTGAGCACATGTGAGTTGGAGAAGGCTATGGCCCTGCGTCCAGGAATCACAGATCTAACGCCCTTTCCCCTTCCCTGTCAGAATAAAACGACACTCAAGTTCCCAAGCAACAGGATTTAGGGAGAAGAGAAAAGGGAATCATTCCATGAAGTTCATAGCTTTGCTGTAACAGTCACTCCTGCTCTCCTGACCACTGGTTCACAGGAATTTCTGCGAGACCTACCGCAGGCTCTCTGGGATATCATATTTTCAGGCTCTGCTTGCTGAACACTAAGTTGCAGAAAACTGCAAGAGTATAAAAGCGTTTCCATTTCCAACCCCAGGTATTAATTACCGTGGAGGCATCTGCCACAACGCCAGGCGCCTGCTAGATCTCTCTGGGGCCAACTTCCCAGGACAGGACGGACAACCAACCGCCATTCCCAGTTCTGCCAGAAGTCCACTAAAGACCAATAGATACAGCAGCACAGAAATCCACATTTATTTAACTCATTTGTGCTTGGTATGGGAATCTCTCATTTTAACCAGCATCACGAGGGAAAGGATCCAGGGGTCCTCAAACTTTTTAAACAGCGAGTCAGTTCACTGTCCCTCAGACCGTTGGAGGGCCGTTGGAGAGTGAGGCGCACATTCCACACATGCGCACTGTGGGCCGGGGACGGGTTGGCTGCTAAGCAGGACAGGCAGCAGCAGCAAAACACCTGGCAGGCCAGATAAATGTCCTCGGTGGGCCACGTGTTTGAGGACCCCTGTAAGACGGCGGGGGCTGGCATATCTTGGAGAAAGGTACGCAGGTAAGACTGGACTGTACATATCTTCAGGTCTTTTCTCTCCAATAACTAGTATTTAACTATAAACTTGGTTGTTTTGCCCAATAATTTTCATCTATGTGAATGTAGTCAATGAAGTATAGAGATCGAGGGTGATTGTGGCTCCTTATAATGATGACTGAGGGCTGAGGGGACATTTGGTACAGGGCTCCCACTCGCTATCACAATAACACTCTCTTGACTTGTGCAACTCTACCTGCCATGAGTATAACTGACTGATGGAGTTGTGACTATGCTCTGTTGCTATCTGATACTGTCAGGGTACATAAGTGGCAGATGAACCGATCAAATCCAATTTAAAACAAAAACTCAGAATGAGACCTCAGCTTATTATGCTCCTTCATTAAATCTTAGCAGATTCCCTGGTGCTGGAATTACACCAACGGCAGTCACATTCAATTACTATAACTCCAAAGCAAATATCAATTTTTATTTTCTTTTAAGAGTGTAGAGAGGAATCCCATCATAACATACGTTCTATTAAATGGAATTCGATATGCCTTGGATCAAACTGGGTCTCCTGAATCACGAACACTGGAAATGGAAAGGAATTAGAGATGACATAGTCCAAGCTTGTCACTTAATAGATGAGGAAATAGATGCTCAGAGAAACTGAGTGATCTGCCCAGGACCACACAGAAATGAGGACCAGAACCGAGCAAACCTTACTGTGAGTACACAGTTCTTTCGATTCACTGGACCTGTGGTCCCCAACCCCCCACCAGGAACCAGATTGTATCCCTACCCCACTACAACCCCCACTCCCTTCTGTGGAAAAACTGTCTTCCATGAAACCAGTCCCTAGTGTCAAAAAGGTTGGGGACCACTGCACTAGACCAAGTGACCTGCTAAGGCCACAGCTGATGGGCTCAGTTGGCCACCTAGTTGTCCTAGGAGAGGACTCAGGCACCATCCCCACAACTGCACCATGTGCCTCAGGTCCCCACATCAGCACGCTGGGCTGTCCAGGATGGGAGAAAACCCACGCAGGCTGCAGGACCAATAATACCATAGTGTCTCACGGCTGGGAGTCACGGAGTGTCTGGCTCTACCCTAGATTCCAAGCTACAGACTGAAAGGAAATCTGGAAGGGTGAAACAAAGAAGAGAGAGAGAAGAGGATAGAAAGAAAACAAATCATTACCATCAAAATTAGGAAAAGAAAAAATAAATAAAAAGTAAAACAAATCATGCTCATGGATGTGTAGGAAAGTAGGAAGATATTAAGGAAACATTAGTCAGAAGCATTTTAAGAATCAAACCTTTAACTTTTAAAAGATATTTTCAATAACAACTATTATCAGAGAACTTCTCCTCTCCTTATGAATCATTGCTCAAATTCTAAACAAGGTAAAATGTAGATCACAATTATTTTATTGACCTATACCTTCTCTTGCACCTCAGCTACAATTTCTTAAACAGACCAGATAGCAAGAAAATCCCAGCTTGCAATGCAGCGAAGAGCCAAAAAGCTTATGATAGGAATAGCTTTAAAAATTCAAAGTTGGCAGTTCTATCAGCCCTGCAATAGTCACCAGCAACATGTTATTACCTTTGAGAGGAACTGTATTTCACATTTAGATGTGAAAATACAATCTAGACCTTATGCCACTGTATAGAATAGCATTTTCCTGCCTGTAACTATTTGTCACGAGCTAGTAGCCAGCCACTGCCTTTTATATACACTGTGGGGTACTATGAACAGGTTGGGTTTACCTAGAAAAAATGCTTTACCTTCTGTTCCAATGACAAGCATGCCAATTCCCAGGTAGCCACTCTTTGGAAAGCCTTCCTCACCGCGGTGACAAGTCTGATTGCCATGTCAGTTACATTGTTGGCTTTGGAGCTTCAGCCAACAGCAGCAAGTCTGTCCTGGAGTTTCATTTTGGCTTGTCCCTGCTGGCTCAAATCTCTGGCTGGCTAATCCTTGGACTTACTGATTCAGTGGAATAAGCAAATAACACTAATATGTGACCTACAAATCAATTTGCAGAGGAAAACAGCCCCTCTGTTTTAATTAATAATAATTGGCCATCTTTCAGGGGGCTCTGGATCCTCACCCTGCCACTGCTATTGGCTTGGCTGCACCACCTGGGACAGGCTCTTCCTTTCTGAGCCTCTGTTGTCTCATCTGTGAAATGATGCAGGCAGTAGAAGAGGGTCACACCAGTCATTTAAGGCTCTGACATTCTGTGACTTAGCTTTGGAAGAAAGTGTCTTTACAGAGATGCTAGAACAGAAAAGATATTCTTTTATAGTTGAAAACAAGTAGGTGTGAAAAGAGTATGAGAGACTCCTGTCCCAGGCCAGGGCGATCCTTTACTCACGATAAGGCAGGCGCCAGGCTGGGCGAGAGCAAAGAGGTTGTTCGTCTGGATGCAGAGGCACCAATATCAAAAGGTGCCTTTCTGTGCTATCTTTCCATTGGCAAGTACTGAGAGCTTTACACATATTTAACCAAGAGCCGGTGTTGCTTCCCAAAATGCACCCAGATTATGTTTAATCCCGGGACATATGCAGTTGACATCATCCTTAATGGCATTCAGAAAGTGTCAGTTGGCCAGACACAGATTTTATTAATGTGAGCTAATTCTTAATATCAGCTCACGAGAGTCCAGGTCTTTTGCTGATTTGGAATCCTGACACTTCACAATTTCTGAGGTTCTGCTCACTGTCTGCAGAGTCAACTGCCTTCATGATTTGATTCTCAGCTGAACAGTCCTGCTAGTGTTAAGGTACCAGACATGGCACGTAACACTCTGAGCCCCACATTTCCAAATAAGTCTCCAGAAAAATATTGCTGATAGAAAAGCTAATGGCAAAGATAAAATAGTTTGCAAAAGCTGAATCCCTTCCACGGTACTGGATTTATGTGGGAAAGTTTATAGCAAAATAAAACTATGCCATATTTTTATCAGGGAAACTGTGCCATATTTTAATTCTAAGCGTGTAGATTTTTGAAGCAACCCCAATATATAAAAATTTGGCAATATTAAGTTTGCAAATTCTAGAGTAGTCACTTTATAAAAACTATAAAATAGCTTTATGGTTAAATTAAGGATTATTTATTTTTCCATGAACAAAGGAGTAAAATTAATTTAAAATCTCTGCCTACACCTGGGAGACCACAAAAGAAAAATCTTAGTAATTTACAGAAGGAGCCCATGAAGTACTTGATATGAGCAAAGCACTATTTTAGTTTTATCAATATTAATTCATTTAATCCCCAGAACACTCCTCTAAGGTAGGTTTATATTAGTATTTCTCTGAGACACTGACAGATTGTTTTGCCAAAATCATCCTCTAGTTAAGTGGAAGGACCCAGATTTGCACCAAGGCATTCTGGTACCACAATGGATGATCCTAACTTCATTGCTAAGCTTCCATTTTTAAATGATAAATTTACTTAAATACATTTACAGATGACCCATATTTTTTAGTTTTTTTAAAAAACGTTAGTTTGGAAACCAAAGTACTTTAACTTATCCCAGAATCACAGCCAAGTCTATGATCACTGCTTCTCATGAATTTTGAACCAGAGGCATATATTTGTCGTGCGTCTCTCAGTCACAATGACAGAAACCCAATTCAGGTTGAAGCAATAGAAAGACATTTGGGAAACCTAAAACTGAGATGTTGGGTGTGGAGTTAACCTCAAGGACCACAACGGAATCAAGAAATATCATCAAAACTCACAATCTTACTATCCTTATTTCTTAGATCTGACTTCTTCTGTCTATTGGCCACATTCTCTTCTGGTTTTTTTACTGAAGATGGACTTTCTCTATGTATGTATGTGTACACATGTGTGTGCATGTATGTGTACATTTTCACATGTGTCTGTGTGGTTAAGGGACCAAAGGGCATGGCCATGGGCAGCTCCTGGCTTACCTGGTTCCAATTCAACACCCCTGCTACAAGAGAGGACCTTCTGCCCCAGCGTCCATATATATAATTACCCAGAAGGCCTCTGGGCCATTCATGTGACTAGAGGGCTGAAGCGCTATGATTGGCTGTCCCAGTGAGGCACTATGATTGGCCATAGCAGAATGCTACGAATCATGGCCTGCCCTGCCCCACCCCCACACCACATGCAACAAAGGAGAACCATTTCCCAAGGGAAAGGAGGTGCAAGGAAAAGAAGGAGAGACAGCATGCTGGGCAGACAAAACCAAAAGATGTCAATGACATTCCAACAAATTGTTGAGCAGGAAATGTTTTTAAGAGGACCCGAAACATGCACAAATAAAGGGAAAGAAAAATAAATGCGTTACAATGAAACCAATTTTCAACCCAAATTCTGGCCATTGATAGTCAAGGAGAGCAGCAGGCTTTGCAGACAGTGATCATGATCAGAAAACAAGCAACTCTTGGTATGAACTTGAGATGGAGACATCTGAACACATGGGCAGTAACTGAGATCACTGCTAACACAGAGCTCTGACTACAAGTCGTCTCCGACATCCATTCACCTTTCTTCCACAGTAGCAGAAACCCCCGTTGTAAGCTAGACACACATCAGCCTATCTTGAAGAGTTCTGACCAGTGAGTGGTAAGACGAAAGCTCTTTTATGTTTTGTGAAAAGACAAAAGGGAATGCCGTCGGCATGTTTTGTTGTTTTTTTCCCCTTTATTCATCCTTCATTTCTGTCAGCCGGAATGCAGACATGATGGCTGGAGCTAGAGCAGCCATAATGGATCATGAGATAACTTGGGATGAAAGACTTGCATGATGGAAAAACAAAACAGAACTTTCCTAGGTCCCCCAGGATTCATGAACAGAATGACCATCTACACCGTCTATCTCCACACTTCTACTAGAGGGAAATAAATTCGTATCTAATTTAAGTTGCGGATATTTGGGGCCTCTAATACTTACAAGCCAAATATTAATAAAATCTTACCTTCGTCTAGAAATAAAGTAATATTTAAGCATGCCAGGACATAAGGAACCTAGATAAATGG